ACTGCCCCATTGGGTTTCCAAAGTAGTAAGTCTTTTTTTTTTTTTTTTTTTTTTTTTATTGTGATTTGAGTGAAAGTTTACTGAGCAAATTGGTTTTTCATTCAACAGTTCATGCACATTTTGTTTCATGACATTGACAGCAATTCCCCACAAGTTTTCCCACTTATTCCCTGTGGCCACCATTTCCCTTTATCCTTTTCTCCTGTGCATTGCTGCCTTCTGAGCTTCATCCCTGGGCAAATGCTCCCCTTTTGATTTCTTATGATTGATTGTTCTAAAGAGTATGTAACTCCCTGCTGCTGCTGTTCATCTCGTAGCTCTATTGTGTGGCTGGAAGTTGAGCCTTGGGAATAAGTTCAGTTCCAGGAAGGGTAGCTACAGTCTTGGGGGTTCCACCAGTCTCTGTCGGACCAGTAAGCCTTTTTTATGATTTTGAGTTTTGTTCGCCTGTACATCTTTTATGGAAGCAGACTACTACATCTTTCTCCCGTGGTTAGCAGCCAAACTCTTAACCACTGTGCCACCAGAGTTCCTTTGTAGCATCAATTTTTTTAAAAAAATTAATTTTAGTTAAACATATAAAACAAAACTTGCCATCTAACCACTTCTAAGTGTACAATTCAGTGACATTTTTTGCATTCACAGTGTTGTACCACCAACATCACTATCCACCTCCAAGAGGTTTGTGTGAGTTTTAAAATGTTTTTGTAGTAAAATATATGTAGCAAAATATTTCAACTGTTTTTATGTGTGCAATTCAGTGACATTAATTACATTTACCATGTTGTACAACACAGGAGCCTTGGTGATGCAAATGGTTAATTGCTTGACTGCTAACTAAAAGGTTGATGGTTTGATCCCACCATTGGCTCTATGGTAGAAAAGTCCTGTGTCTTCCTTAAAGATTGTTGTTGTTGTTATGTGCCATCAAGTCAGACCCAACTGATAGCGACCCCTCCTTGGGTTTCCAAGGCAGTATCAGACCCAACTGATAGCGACCCCTCCTTGGGTTTCCAAGGCAGTATCACTACGGAAGTAGATTGCCCAGCCTTCCTTCCGAGGAGTGGCTAGTGGGTTTGAACCTCCAGCCTTCTGGTTAGCAGTCAAGTACCTTAGGCACTACACTACCAGAGCTCACTCCTTAAAGATTACTTCCTATGAAATGCATGAGGTAGTTCTGGTCTGCCCTTTTGGACCATTAGGAGTTGAAATAATCAATTTGATGGCACACAACAGTAACAATTATGTAACAGTCACCACTGTCCATTTCTAAATTTTTTTTTTATTACCCTTAATAAAAAACTCTTCACCCTTGAGCAGTACATCCCCACACTCACCGCTGCCCACTCTCCCGTGGTAACCACTAATGAACTTTGGTCTCTATGCATCTGCCTATTCTAGATATTTCGTATAAGTGGGATCATATTTGTCCTTTTTTGTCTCACTTATTTCATTGACTATAATGTTTTGAAGGTTTATCCATGTTGTATCATGTATCAGAACTTCATTTCTCTTTTTGAATGACTAATATGCCATTGATAGGGTAACATGTTGTTTATTCATATGTTAATGGAGATTTGGGTTGTTTCCAACTTTTGGCTTTTGTGAATAATTCTGCTGTGGACATTGGTGTACAAGTATACCAATGTTCCATGCATTTTTATCACCCTAAACAAATTCAGTATTCATTAAGCAATGTTGTTGTTTTTGTTATGTGCTGTCGAGTAGGACCCGACTCATAGCAACCCCTCCTTGGGTTTCCAAGGCAGTATCACTATGGAAGTAGATTGCCCAACCTTCCTTCCGAGGAGTGGCTGGTGGGTTTGAACCGCCAGCCTTCTGGTTAGTAGTCAAATGTCTTAGGTACTGCGCCATCAGGCTCCCCCATTAAGCAATAGCTCCTCCTAATTCCTTTTAACAATCAGTCTACTTTTGTCTCTATACATTTGCCTAGAGGCTTCATATAAGACAATATTTGTCTTTTTATGTCTGACTTAATTCACTTACTACAATGTTTTCAAGGTTCATTCATGTAGCATGTGTCCAAATTTCATTTCCTTTTGTGGCTGAATAATATTCTCTTGTATGTGTAGTGATTGGAGTCCCTGGGTGGCACTCCACCCCAAAAGATTGGCAGTTCAAACCCACCCAGAGCCACCTCAGAAGATAGGCCTGCTGATCTCCTTCTGGAAGGTCACAGCCTGGAAGACCCTGGGGAACACAGGGCTACTCTGCATGCTTGGGGTTGCCATGGGGTGGAGTCCACTTGATGGCAGCTAACAACAGTGAGATGTATCATAATTACTGATAAGGAAAGACAACTGCTGTTTTGCTATTTTTCTTCTTTGTGTCTTATACCTATTTTGTCACTCATTCCCACCCATATTGTCTTCTTTTTTGGTTAGTTAATTTTTTGTAATGAACCATTTTGATTCTCATTTCCTTTAGTGTAAATTTTTAAGATAGTTTCCTTGTGGTTATCCTGAGTATTACACTTAACATCCTAAATTTATATTAATCTAGTTTGAATTGATACCAGTATCGCTACAGTATTGATTCAATAATTCTGTTCCTATGCATCTCCATCCCCCTTGATCATGTTGTTTTTTTTTTTACAAATTACATCTTTATACATTTTTTGCTCAATAGCATAAATTTATAATTTTTAAAAATGCATTTGTCTTTTGTATCATGTAGGACATAACAAGTAGAGTCAACAATCAAAAATACAGGCAGTCCCTGACTTACTGACAACTCCTTGCCCTTTAATGTTATGTAAATTTGCCATCACTGTGAAATGATTCAACCGGCCATTACTTGCAACAAATTCTTCATCTCAGTCATCTTCACTTGCTGCACATGTAGCTTTTACATCATTGAAAAAACTTTGAGCCTTTTCTTATACTCACTGCCATCGAGTCGATTTGACTCATAGCGACCCCTCCTTGGTTTTCCGAGGTGGTATCACTATGGAAGTAGATTGCCTGATCATCTTTCTGAGGAGTGGCTGATGGGTTTGAACCACCAGCCTTCTGGTTAGCAAATGCCTTAGGTGCTATGCTACTAGAGCCACCTGTCTTATACTGAATTAAGGCTAAATAAGAACCGTATGCAGCTGTCCCAATTTACCTACAAATTTGACTTACAGACGATTAGGAATCTATCTCATTTGTAACCTGAGGATTGTCTGTGCAGTAACACTGGCCATTATATTTACCTGTGAAATTACTTTTACTTAAGATCTTTATTTTTCGTACAGCTTTGAGTTACTGTTTTGTGTCCTTTATATCAACCTGAAAGGACTTTCTCCCTCTCCCTTTTTTGTCGGGGGGAGTCTGCTGGCAATGAACTTCCTCAGCATTTCTTTCCTTTATCTAAGGACAGTTTTGCCAGATACAGAATTCTTAGTGTACCATTTTTTTCTTTCAGCACTTTAAGTGTGTTACCCACTGCCTTCTGGCCTCCATGGTTTCTGAGGAGAAATTGACATTTGTTCTTGAGATCCCTTGTATGTTATATTTGCTTCTCTCTCTCTTTTTTTTTTTTTTTTTTTGATGGTTTGACTAGAAAGCCTTTCAATGTGGATCTCTTTGGGTTTATTCTATCTATGAATTCATTGAGCTGCTTGGATATGTCTTTTGCCAAGTTTGTGAAGTTTTCAGCCATTATTTCTTCATGCATTCTTTCTTCTCCTTTCTCCCTTTGGCACTCCCATAATGTTTATATTGGCCCATTTGATGGTGTCCTACAAGTGTCTTAGTCTCTGTTCATTTTTCTTCATAGTTTATTTCATTTTGTTTCTCAAAATTCAGGACCATTTCAATTGTCTTATCTTCAAGTTTGGGAGCTCTGGTGGTGGTGTACCTGTGTTTGACTGCTAACCAGAAGGCTGGCAGTTCAAACCTACACTACCTCAGAAACCCAAGGAGGGGTCGCTATGAGTGGAATCACTTCGATGGCAGTGCTTTTGGGTTTTTTTGGGATCGATCTTAAAGTTTGCTAATTCATTTGCCAACTTCAATCTACTGTGGAGCCCTTCTGGAAAATTTTTTATTTTGATTATTGTATTTTACAGGTGCAGAGTTTCTGTTGGGTTCCTTTTCATAATTTCTGTCTCTTTATTGTTGTCCTCATTTTGTTCATAGATTCTTTACTGATTTTCTTTAGTTCTTTGTGTGTTCCTTTAGCTCTTTGAGCATATTTAAAATAATTGTTTTAAAGTCTTTATCTAGCGAGTCCAGCATCTTGACTTTTCCCAAGATAGTTTCTGTCATTTTATTTTTTCCTTTGAATGGGCCATCCTTCCCTATTTCTCTATATTTTTTGTGATTTCTTCTTGAACATGGCATGTGAACAATATAATATGGTGACTCTGGAAATCAGATCTCCTCCTTCCAAAGGGTTCATTGGCTTCTTTCTTTCTCTTTCTCTCTTTTTAGTTTGAATTACTGAAGCTGTAGTAGTACATTGATTTAGTGACTTTTCCGAATTATTTTTACAAAGACTGGATAGCTTGACATGTGTGTTCCCCAAAGTTTAAATAAATACAAAAGCACCTCTTCCAGTCTTTGAAGACTGGCTCTGTGCTAGGTCACTTCTTCAACACTTGTCCAGGCTTACACTTTAATGTAAATTTTTATTAACCTCATTTCCATTGTAAGTACCTCTTAGGTCTTGACTTGAGGAAGGTAAATATATCTATTTTAATCTATTTTGGTATTATCAGATAATGAGTCACACTTTTTCTGTGTATGGCAGTGGCAATATCAAACTGTGATTTGGGAATAAATTGTCACCTCCGGCATTATCATGAACATCTCTCTGATCTTTTTCTCGTTGCTCTAGATTTTACTATAAGCAGAGAGTACTACAGAAGGTCTTTGGAGAATGGAAAGAAGAGTGGTGGGTTTCTAATCGAGAGTGGAAACTCTGTGTTCGAGCTGATTGTCACTACAGGTCAGATCTCATGTTACATTACTTCAGTTTTTCACATTATCAAATAATTCTTTGTTGTCAGTTTCTTGTCAAGAGAAACAAAGTTTTGAATCATTTCTTGTTTTGCTTCAAATTCTTTTTAGAGTAAGCACAAAATCCTAAATTAAATCTAAACACCCGTGTGTGCACACGCACACACGCACACACGCATGCACACACACAGACGTCCCTCCAAGCCAGGTAACCATTTTGTGTTGATTATGCTAATTATTTGAGTGGAATTTTCTTATATTAATTTTTATATAATTTCTAATTCTGAGACTGTTCTGTTCTTTAAATAATTAGTTGTTTTAATTTATATTGATTGTGGAAGAAAATATGTGAGCAACATAGTACATTAGGAAATGCAGAAATCCTCTAGTCCTTGACATTTGCATTCTCAAGGGTAAGTGGAGAAAAAAATAAAAACTGGGACATGTTTTTAGGCCTTTTTTAGTTGATAGTTTTATCCTTAATATCTTTATGTGAGTAACTTAATATTGTGATTGACTTAATATATTGTGTTTTTAAAATGGTACTAGCTCTTGTTTATAGTCACTTCTCTAATTAGATTGACTTTAGGGCAGGAGTTCTAGATATTTTAGATAAAGTGTAGAAGTATTGTTATTGATACTAGCTTCTGTTGAACTGGCCTCTGACTCATAGTGACTGCCACACAACAGAACAAACCGCTGCCCAATCCCACACCGTCCCTCTGATTGGCTGCATACTGAGAGGTTGTGATTTGTAGGGCTTTCATTGGCTGATATTTCAGAAGTAGGTCACCAGGTCTGTCTTCTTAGTTTGTCCTAGTCTGGAGGCTCTGCTGAAACCTGTTCACCATGATGGCGACACTCAAGGCTCCACCAACAGACAGGTGATGGCTGTGTGTGAGGTGCACTGGTGAGGACTTGAGCCTGCGTCTCCTGCGTGGAAGGCCAGAACTCTTCCTCTTAACTACTACTGCCCTCGTAGAAGCATTTGTTCTAATAAGCTAACCAAACCGAAAAAACACACTCACTGCCATCAAGTCAGTTGCAACTCATACCAACCCCCGTTGGGTTTCTGAGGCTGTAAATCTTTACAGAAGCAGACTGCCGTATCTTTCTTCCATGGACCAGCTGTTGTGTTTGAACTACCGGTCTTTTGGTTAGCAGCCAAATGCCTTAACCACTATACCACCAGAGCTCCTTTCTGATAAGCTAATAGAGTATGAAGTCAAGTCTCAGGAAGTGGAGTAGTGCAAATATGGAGAGAGTGAAGATCCTAATGTGCTGTTTTTATTATGAAAGAAAAAGATAAAATTTTAGGAAGTATCTGACCATTTCCCAGCACAAAGGAGAAGTTTTGTGTGATGTGGATGACTGAGATGATTGGGATGTTGTTCCAGATGTCAGTTTTGTGGATGCTGTTCTCAGAGTTATTGTGGATAGAGTTATTCTCAGAGAAGCAGAGCCTTGTCTTTGTCAGTGATCCCTTGAGATGGGGAGAATGGCTGGCTGTCAGGAGAATAGATTTTACCATCATTGTAGGAAATGGAATTTTAGCTTAGGATGTCAATATGGTTTTTTTGTGTTAGAGGCTTCCATGTTAATTTTTCCTAGGTGCAGAACTGACTTGGTGTGTTGCATTAGAAGTTGTTTTGTTTGAAAGAAATGCCCTTTGTTTTTGTCTCCTCAGATACTACTTGTACAACCTGATGTTCCAGACCTGGAAGACCTACATGGAGCAGCAGCAGGAGATGAGGAACAAGTACATGAGAGCCAAGGATCATGGTGAGAAAAGGAGATATCCTTGTAGCAAAGTCCAAATGTACTTTTGCAGAAGCCCTTGAGAAGGACCGAATACATTGTCTCTGAGACAGAAGTAACTCTAGACCTAGGGGCTCCCTTTCAGAAGTTCCAGATGCGTGACTCTCTGAGCCGAACTCCTGTGTGATCAGATTCCTGTGGTTTTCTCCGTATGGCATGGTGCTGGTACTTAAAGCTTGTCTAACCACAAGTTACATGAACTGTCTGTTCCTGCCCTGTGCGTGCAGTGAGCTGGCTGGGGTTTCCCCCTGGCACCTGGTACTGCCATTTATCTTGCTGCCATGTGTCAAATTGAATGAAGACTGGAGCATTGCTGCAGCGCTCACTTACTTCTGAGCTGTTTTGCCCAGGTTGCCCCTCAGTCATCCTGTGGCCAGTCTCAATCTGGTTGGTGTCCAGTTTTTCTCTGAGTTGTGCCAGCAACCTATGTGGGGAGTCAAAGGGAAAAAGTGCCAACTTTCAAAATGATAATGCAGCCTGCTCATTACCAGCTGCCTCATAGACAGACATTTCATATCAGCGTCCTACAGGCACCTCAGATGCTGCGGGTCATTAATACAGCTTGTCAGCACCCCTGCCTTATTTAGGAATGGCTTGTCCGTTCCTTATGCCTGATACCATTCAGTTACCTAAGTTGGCCCTCTGTTACTTGCAGGCATCTTTTTTCTTGTCCTGTTGCCACAGCCTGAAGTTCATACCCATCTTTTCCCCAGAGTGTTATAAATACCTCTCCCACTGACCCCTTCATTCATTTTCTCCCCTTTTCCTTGTACACATAGTAGCCACAGGAGTGAGAAGTCATAGATAAGACCATCTCTGTCCTTTGCATAAAAATTAATTTGACTCATCTTCACTTACACAATGACATCAGCACTCTGTGACGCGGCATACAAGGTCTCTTCCCCCGCATGCTCTTCCACACACCCCACACAGTTGCCACATTGGGTATGAACTTCCATATCTTCTCATCTTTGTCCTGCAGTTCCTCTTTCATGCTAAATTTAAATGTCACCTTTTTTGTTTAGCTTTCTGGTTTCCTCCAACACAGTGGGTCCTTGCTTCCCCTTTCTATGTTCCTGAAGCTCTTACCCCCACCTCTTAGTTACAGCACCAGACATATTTTTTTTCTGTAATTAGTTGGTAAATAACTTTTTCATTATTGTTTCATTTTAATTTATATACAGTAAAATTTAGTCTTTTTGGTCTACAGTACTGTGAGTTTTGACAAATGCGTAGTTATGTAACCATCTCCCCATTTAAGACAGAACATTTCCATCATACCCCGAAAGAATTCCCTTGGGCTAACCTTTTGTTGCAGCCTCCCTCCACACATAATCATAGGTAACCACTGATAAGTTCTCTGTCACTCTACTTTTGCCTTTTCTAGAATGACATATAAGTGGAATCGTACAGTGTAGCCTTTGGACTCTGCCTTCTTAATACAACGAATTTGAGATTCATTCTGTTTGCATGTATTCCTTTTGTATGCTGAGTAGTATTTCATTGTATGGGTACACCACAGTGTGTTTATCCATTTATTGGTTGAAAGACATCTAGGTTGTTTCCAACTTTAGAAAATTGTGAATGCTGCTATAAACATTTGTATGCAGCTTTCTGTAGGAGCATTTCTCTTGGGTGGGATTATCTAGGAGTGGGATTGCTGGATCATATAGTAGGTGCATATCTAACTTTATAAGAAACTACCAAATTTTTTTCCAGCGTGTCTGTACCACTTTGCATTCCCATCGGCCATATACGAGAGTTCTGCTTGCTGTGCATCCTCGCTAGCATTTGGTATTGACATTAAAAAAAAAATTTTTTTTTTTTAAACTAGCCTAGTATCTGTGTATTAGACCAGAACATGTGATGCCTGTGTAAGGAGCTCTGGTGACATGGTGGTTAAAGCATTTGGCCGCTAATCAAAAGGTCCATGGGTTTGAACCCACCAGCTACTCTGCAGGAGAAACAGAAGGCAGTCTGTTTCTGTAAAAATTTGCAGCCTTGGAAAACCTATGAGGCCATTCTACTCTGTCCTATAGAGTCACTCACTTGATCACAGTGAATTTTAATAGCTATGTAGAGTATTTCACTGTGGTTTAAATTTGAATTTCCCTAATGATGGATCACTTTGTAATACTGTGGTGGCTTGCATGTTGCTGTGAGACTGAAATCTGTGCCACTGGCATTTCAAATACCAGCAGGGTCACCCGTGGTGGACAGGTTTCAGTGGAGCTTCAAGACTAAGACAAACTGGGAAGAAGCACAGAGCCATCCACTTCTGAAAAAAAAATTGGCCACTGAAAAGGTTATAAATAGCAGTGAAACACTGTCTAATAAATTACTGGAAAACTTTATGAATAGCAGTGAAACACTGTCTAATATAGTGTCAGATGAGCCCCTCAGGTTGGAAGGCATTCTGAGTACAACTGGGAGAGAACTGGTTCCTCAGAGTAGGATTGAACTTAATGACATGGATAAAGCTTTTGGGACCTTTATCGGCATGACTGAAAATGGAAAGAAATAGCTGCAAACATTAATAATTGGAAAGTGGAATGTACGAAGTATGAATCTAGGAAAACTGGAAGTTGTCAGAAATGAAATGGCACTCATAAAGATTGATAATTAGTGAGTTGAAATGGAGTGATAGTGGCCATTTTGAATCAGACAATGATATAGTCTACTGTGCCCAGAATTGAAGAGGAATGGCATCATGTTCATCTTCAAAAAGAACATTATAAATACATCCTGAAATACAATGGTGTCATTGATAGGATAATATCTATTCACCTACAAGGAAGACCACTTAGTATTACTATTACTCAAATTTATGCACCAACCACTGAAACAAAAGACAAATTGAAGATTTCTTACCAACTTCTACAGTATGAAATTAACCAAACATGCAATTTAGATGTGTTGATTATTACTGGTGATTGGAATGCCAAAGTTGGAAATGAAGAATCATCAGTAGTTGGAAAAAATGCCCTTGGTGATAGAAATAACACCAGAGATAACATGATAGAATTTTGCAAGACAGCAACTCATTGCTAATATTTAAAAAAAAACATAAATGGCAACTATACACATGGATCTCACCAGAAGGGATACACAAGAATCAAATTGACTACATCTGTGGAAAGAAGCGACGGAGAAATTCAATATCATCAGTCAGAACAAGGCCGGGAGCTGACTGTGGAACAGACTATGTGATGCTCATATATAAGTTCAAGTTGAAGCTGAAGAAATTTCAAACAAGTCCACAAGAGCCAAAGTATGACCTTAGTTATATCCCACTTGAATTTACAGCCCATCTGAAGAATGGATTGGATGCATTTAACACCGATGACCAAAGACCAGATAAATTGTGGAATGACATCAAGAACATCACACATGAATAAAGCAAAAGGTATATTAAAAGACAGGAAAGGAAAAAGAGGCCAAAATGGATGTCAGAAGAGACTCTGAAACTTACTCATAAGCAGAGAGTAGCTAAAAGTAAATGGGAAAAATGATGAAATAAAACCACTGAACAGAAGATTTCAAAGGACAGTTCAAGAAGTCAAAGTAAAGTGTTACAATGAAATGTGCAGGCCTGGAATGAGAAAACAGAAAGGGAAGAACACACTTGGCATTTCTCAAGCAGAAAGAACTGAAGAAAAAAAAATGCAAGCCTCAAATTGCAGTATTGAAGTATTCTATGGGCAAAATATTGAATGATGCAGGAAGCGTTAAAAGAAGATGGAAGAAATACATAAAGTCACTCTACCAAAAATAATTGGTTGGTGTTCAGCCATTTCAGAAGGTAGCATATGATGAAGAACCAATGGTATTGAAGGAAGAAGTCCAAGCTGCACTGAAGGAATTGGCAAAAAAAAACAAGGCTCCAGGAATTGACTGAATAACCATTGAGATGTTTCAACAGATGGATGCAGTGCTGGAGGCACTTACTCATTTTTGCCAAGAAATTTGGAAGACAGCTACCTGGCCAACCAACTGGAAGAGATCCATATTTGTGCCCATTCCAAAGAAACGTGACCCCACAGAATATGGAAATTATCAAACTATATCATTAATAACACACATAAGTATAATTTTGCTGGAGATAGTTAAAAAAATGTTTGCAGCAGTATATTGATGGTCAACTGCCAGAAATTCAAGCTGGATTCAGAAGAGGACATAGAACGAGGGATATCATTGCTGATGTCAGATGGATCTTGGCTAAAGTCAGAGAATATCAGAAAGATGCTTGCCTGTGCTTCATTGACTATGCAAAGACATTAATTCAACTCCGTGGATCATAACAAATTATAGGTCATATTAAGAAGAATAGGAATTCCAGAACACTTGATTGTGCTCATGAGAAACCTGTACATAGACCAGGAGGAGGCTGTCGTTCATACAGAATAAGGTTTAAAATCAGGAAGGTTGTGCATCAGGGTTGTATCCTCTTGCCATACTTAGTCAATCTGAGCACATAATCCGAGGAGCTGGACTATATGAAGAAGAACACAGCATCAGGATTGGGCAAAGACTCATTAACAATCTGAGATATGCAGGTGACCCAACTAGCTTGCTGAAAGTGAAGAGGACCTGCCACATTTAGTAATGAAGATCAAAGACTGCAGCCTTCAGTATGGATTACACCTCAACGTAAAGAAAATGAAATTCCTCACAACTGGACCAATAAACAGTATCGCGATAAGTGGAGAAAAGATTAACGTTGTCAAAGATTTCATTTTTCTTGGATCCACAACCAATACCCATGGAGACAGGAGTCTAGAAATCAGATGTTGTATTGCACTGGGCAAATCTGCTGCAAGGGACCTCATTAAACTGTCAAAAAGCAAAGATGTTACTTTGAAGACTAAGGTGCACCTAACCCAAGTCATGGTAGTTTCAGTTACTTCATAAGTATGTGAAAGTTGGACAATGACTAAGGAAGACCGAAGAATTGATGCCTTCTA